TTTTGGTGGCAAGATATGTATCAACACATAATTTCTTCATCTACTTAAGGAAATTAATAGATTTTTTATTTAGGTGGTTAACAAGAAATGACAAAAAACTCTCTCCTAAAATTGTAAACAAATAAAAGCATGCATAATTCTTGATACATCCCTAAGTAATATTCTTCATCTGGCAAAAATCACAATGTACTTTGGGATCAGAAGCTTCAAAATCATATTAAGAAATGACCACACTTAAATTTATCATCCACTAAATTGCCTTTGCGAGACAAACCAAATGAAATAAAAATGATTTACAAGTGAGGACAGATCGTGAACTTCAAGCATAATAAGAAACTTTATGACATACTTTGAAAAACTAAACAATCTTCATATTTGATAAGTTTATAATTAAATCGAGCGTCTCGACAAAGCGAATCTAATGAGCTTAAAAGCACTTAACTTCAACATCAGCATGACACTCAAATACTCATAAAATATCATATCAATGAGAATCAATTGAGATTTATATCAAACCTTCATTTTTAACAAGCAAAATCAAAAGCTTTAAATGGTATTATTTATGAACACAAATGAATTGTGCAATAAGTCATTCAATTTTGTTTATTTATCAATCAAAAATTTATAAATGTGTTCAAACTTCTTTAATAAATTGATAAATTGAATATGAATGAGCTCATATTAACATATGCAAAAATAGCTTCTAAAACATTTAATTCATTTGTAACTCTATTCATTAGCTCCAATAAAGGCAGTGACATCAAAGATTACGAGGAACAATAACATTTGACTCTATCAATAATGTCATTATCATTACATCCTAGGCAGTTGCCTTTATTGCTTTCACCAGTTTATGTTGTACAAATAAGACCTAACAACGAAATGGCACTACAGCCATCGATCACAACATTCATGATGGGTTATTGCCTCCATAGCAATCGACTACGAGTCTTATAGTCTGTTATCATTGATGAATACATTCATTATAGTCTGACTTCAACTATTATCAATAAACAAGAGTTGCATATTTATAATGACTAATTCTACAACTCTATCTTCCCTAATTCAAGAGATGAGTGGACATTTGTACTCAACATTCATCATGGATTATTTCAACTGGGCTATGCCTCGTGGTTTTTCCCCCTTTTCAAGATTTTTTGTGTGAAATTTGAGGTGTCTCCTCTTGCTTCTTTCTCTCTTTTATTATCTTTGTGCGTACCCATTTTTTGTGCAACAGTAATATGATAATTCATTATTATGTTTTTACGGATCTTCCAGCACCCATCAAGTCTTTATACATCTTATTGAGTAACTCAATCATTAAAATTTCTTGTAGCATAAAGAGAGTGGGTGCTAGGCGGCTTAATTCGTGCAACATTTCATCTTTATAAAATAATGTAAGCTTTCTTATTTTCCTCTCTTTTAAGTGTGGACAAAAATATTGAATCACCGAACCACTTCTAGATTCATGTTTACACATTTTTATATCACTTGTGTAATTTTTATTGTACATGTTGCAATTATTTTCACTCACCACTCACCCACGGCCACTAGTGAGTGGGGTGCACTCAATGAAATTGAAAATTTTCACAAACATCACATTCACCCTCCCTCATAAGGCAAGAAAGGCTCTTCTTACAAGTTTTTTGTGCATTTTAAGGATTCTCATAATATAAAATTGCAGAAAGATTAGTTGAGATCTTAAATTATAGCCATGAGAAATTGTGTAGGACTCATAGCATATTAGTTTAGCCTTTTATGTCTAACTACTCATAACATGCATGTCAATTAAAGAGAAGCCCCCAAAAAAAGAAATAAAAAGAAGGTAGAATGGCTAATATTACCAAGTCTATATTCTTCATAATGTTTCAAGTCCAAATTTTATTTACTCTTCTGAATAAATAAAAGTTCTTTAGATTTGATTGATATTTGCGCCCAAATTTAAATAATGGAAATGAAAAAAAAAATGATGGTAATTGTGCCCAAACTTAAATAACCCAAAGCCATCTGCCATATTGAGGCTTTCGTGTAAATACGAGGCACCATACCATATAAATTTCTCTGTTTTTTTATTAATTTTCTTTAGTGGTTGGTGGCACTAAATAAATTTCTATTACGTGGTAAATATAAATAATTTAGTAGCAGCTGTAGGGATATATATATATATATATATATATATATATATATATATATATATATATCAACAAAGAAATTCATACGGTATCAACAAATTTTCCTCATTTGATATGAATTTTGAGACATAACATTGATATGAATTTTGAGACATAACAGTGTTCTCGAAGCAATTTTTTGGGCATGAAATGTTTATATATTTATAAAAAGTCATCCAGAGGAGGTTAGATTTCAACAAACTTATAGTCAGTTTGATTGGCTCAACGATACAAACCCGATGATACCCAAATTGTTCTATTTTGAGTCAAATCAAGCCTTAATCACGACATTTAACCAATTTTGAAAGATTTCAGGGCACACTTGGGAGGTCAAATTTATAGTCGAATCGAGTGTCTCGACAAAACGAATCCAACGAGTCTAAGATAATTCAATTTTGATATCTTTAATGCACTCAAATGTCCATGAAACGCCATTTGATTGAGGGAAGCCATCCGAGTTTTCTGATCAAAGTGGTTCACATTTCTGCATTAATTACACCCAAAATTCTATAAAAAATGTCTCATTCTTCCTTTGAGAGGGAGGAGAGCTTGAGGCTTGAGGAAGATCTTAAAGCTTTGAGAAGAAGTTAAAGTTTAGCATCACTCCTTCTATCATCGGCCACTGTCAACTGGGCCAAGCCCCATGATTTTTCTTTACGGGCTTTTTCACGTAAAAACTTTTGATATCCTTACGGATTGTTCTTCTTTCATCTGAGTGTGTGTTAAATTCTCGTGTAATGCTAAGACGGTAATTTATTACTGTTGAGAAATTAGGGCAAAGAAAAATAAGAATCAACACAAATCCAAAAGAACACACAAAGATATAACGAGGTTCGGCAAAGATGCTTACGTCCTCGAGAGCAGAGCAGCAGCTTTCTTGAGCTTTGGAAAATTCTTCTGACGAATAAATTGTATCTGAAGCAATAGCTGTATGGGCTAGAGATGCAAGAAAATGTTTAAAGAGGGAGCTTCCGCCTCGACAGGTTGAAACACAGAGGTGAAGCAGGCTTCGAATTTGCGCGGCCGAGGGTTCTTCCAGCAGGCTTCGACACGGCTTCTTCCGTGACAAGGGAAGGTGTTCAAGCGAGGTTCTAGGGCAAAAAATTTTGGCGTAAGAAGAAGAAAATTTGGCGGCTAAGGCTTTGGAGTTCGACGGATCGCGACAGAGGAACAGAATCAGTTATGCGAGACATTCTTCAGTGAATCGAGAATCACGACAGGAGAAATCTTTAACGAGAATAATTTCAGATGGCAATGTCTGGTATAAAATTCGAGATGGTGAAATTTGATGGAATTGAATTGTGACAAACAATTACTTTTCCACAGCAAATTTTCTACACAAATCAGAAATAAAGGTGACCTGTCCTCTCATGATGAAAGCGCTCTTCTCCTTAACATAAAAGCTTGCTTTCATTATGAGTAAATAAATGAGTAAATAAATGACCTTCTAGTTTTTCAACACTTCCAAGATACAAGAAACCCATAATTGAATTTTAACCTGGAAAACATATGAAAATGTTTAAACTAATACAAGGATATATAAATTTTATTTAAATATATCTAGTTGAATTAAGCTCACCTGCTGAAAGGTTGAATCGAGCTTGCCTAATTGCTCTCATTTCTCCCGAGAGATTAACCTAGCTCACATGCATTATAGAAGCTACCAGTAGAAGTCATCACGACTACTAAGGACGTCTGTTGATTCCCTATTAAAGATGTCGCAGTGGGATTTTATATTTCACTCAAGTACATGGGGCGACTATCGTAATAAAAATATTTGATCTCAACTTGCAATACCAAATATTCACATCGCAATCATTCCATCAAGACAGCAGAGAAATGCATCATACATTGGAATATGTATTGCTTTAGTTATTTTTTTTTATTTTCTCACCTATGTACAAAAGGGGAGGGAAAGGGATAGAATGAGTGGAGCTTTTTTTTTTCTTTTTTTTTTCTCTAGTAATTTGGCCTCCTTCCTTTTCTCCCTATTTGAAGAGAAAAAATATTAGGTCAGGACTTCAGATACATCCGGAGTCCAATAGGGGGGCGCCACATGAAAAGTGGACCAATCATAGTGTATTGCGGTGGGCTCACTTTACACGTGACGCCCCCTTATTGAACTCTGGATGTGTTTGGAGTCCTGACCTAATATTTTCTCATTTGAAGATCACCTTCCATCTCTATAAAAAATCTAGTAACTTAGCGTCCTCTGAGGAACTTAATATATTTTATAAAGTTTTCTCATAAATTTTTCATCTCCCTCCCTTCCCCATACAAAATTTTTTTATTGGATTGTATGTAATCACCAACAATATATAGACCCTACATCCTAAAATGATTCAATAGCAAATAATTAATCAACTAAAGCCCTTAAAGAATTTCGAAATTTAACCCCATAATTAAACCAAAAAAGAGTCATTTATATACATAACACACAAATTCTTACATTAAAACTCAAAACATTCATATTTACAAACAAACCACTGAATTTTTTGAACGGCACATGAAGAATACCGCTGTCATTAACTTTTTAAAAGCAAATAATGCCTTCTGCATTCATATATTTTTAATATCCAACTTTAGGAGTTAATATGTAAATACATGTAAATAGTATGCCATATATGTAAATTTCCACGAAACTAGAAGAGATGCTAACGGACAAGCCTGTGGCATTACAAAGATAAAATATTCTGAGAGGGAAACTCAGGAGATTAGAATGATAAATTTTAAATTTCGAAAGGCAATATTGCAAAAAACAACCAAATTTAAACCTATAATAAACATCTTTATGTAAATTCAAGTGTGGCAGTATGTAAATTGAATATGTATTTAATTAGCAGCCCACATAAAAATTAATAATAATAATCAAACAAATATTACAATTGACATCTAACAATAACCGCACAAAAGTATCAGTTACGCATTAATCCACTCATGAACTGATCTTTTACACCAAACATCCTTCAATCAAATGTTTTAATTATTGTTGAAACCTTCAGTATTACATCCTATACAAAACATCCATAGCACAGCAATATGATGCAAAATGTCTAGATTTTCAAACTGTAACTCCCAAGCCCATATTTTCTCCTGCTTGTGTTAGATCCCATGAAAAGAATTTCTATAGCTCCGAGAGGATATATGGTGCCAAAAATAAATTACATGCCATTTTTCCTTCTCTCAGGGCTTCCATGGAGCTGGAGGTGGAGGAGGAGAAGGAAACATCGGCGGCACAGCAGAAAAAATTGTATTTTTGTCGACGCTATTGCCCTCGCCAGACAATGCGATCAGAGCAGCAACCAAACCGGCATTCCCGGCGAGTGTCGGCTCCGTGTAATTGTAGTTTGTGCGCACATCATGGAAGCCGTCGTGCCTGTCAGGACCAGCAACCATAGCTCCCACAATCGTATTAGGGTTTGGCTTCTTTGTATCGCGCCACTTCCATCCTCCTTTGCAGTCATACTTAACGCCATTCTTCGGGATGGAAGCACCGCGGTGATGAACATGCTTTGGGAAGCGATTGCCGAAGCCGACAACATAGCTCATCTTCTCTGGATTCTTGCCTAGAATGTAATCAATCTACCAAAGATCGAAGAAGAATAAGAGTATAAGAGATGTCCTGAGAGACTAAAAGTCTACTAATTCATTCTCGGACAGAGAAGGGTGAGATTACGCACCTGCGTTTTTGCAAAGTTGCGAAGAACTGAGGTGGGGAAGAAATTGGGGCCGCAGTACCAACCAGGAGTGTCGGCAGCTTCAAGATAATCACTGTAGACCGCAGCGAGAAAAGCTGCATTAACGACGTACTGAAGGGGCTGAGGTCTTCCATGGTTTAGTTGTATTAGACCACCTGCAAGTACATATTGAAATATAACTTTTTCTTGAGCTTTATTAAAGGCAAAGTTCTGTGGTTAAGAAAATGGGGCAGTTCCAAACCTTTAGTTCTGTTAAAAGATTTAAAAACTGGTAGAAAAGAGCACATAACAATGTTGGTCTGATTGTGGAAGGTTCTCAGTATCTCTTCGTATGGATAACCTGGACTCAGAAATAGTCTCAATCTGCTGAGAAGAACCTGCATGCAGAAACAGATATGATAAGACCACAAGGAAACAGATTTTCCATTCAAGATCACAACTTTCACTTCAAATATGTATTCAAAATTTGATTTTGGATCTAATCTAGCCAGAATCCTGGTTCACCGGAAATTCTACTGGTAAAACTAAACAAGGCCAAACAAAATTTGCTCTATTGGAAAAACTGAAACTAAGTTGAAACTTTAATGAACTAAACACGCACCCAGATTTCCAAGATATCTTAAAACTTCATTATTTGATAAAAAATTTTCAATGTAACCACAAAATTTATCTGCCGGAGTAAGATTAATGCAGGAGGATGAGAATCAGGAACATATAGTTGAAAAAAGTAGAAGTTTTAAGTTCATTCATGGCTGGTAAATGATTTGATTTGATAGTTTCAATGCCCTGATAAAGAACAATCATTATTTAAACAATAAAGTTGCAACAAATGAGGTATCATGTCAAAGCAAACATGCAAAACTCAAAAACTAACTGATGTCATCAACACAAACCATCCAAAAAAAAATTATATCAAAATTTAGTCTCTTAAATCTTAGAGACCATCAATACTTTTAATTAGAAGCAGCTTAAAAACTATTATCTTTTATAAGCCAATCATCCAACATGGGACTTCCTCTGAAATTCAAATTCCAACCATCAGAATACAGAAATACACAGTATTTTTTCCTTACTCGCACTCTCATCCTAAATCTTCACCCAATTTGTATGTTTGTTTTTTAATCCCAAACATAGGCGGTGTTTGGTAGCATAGTTTTAATAGGATTTAGCCTAAATCCAGCCAAACATCAAGAAACACGAATTAACTCCAATGCTCCGTTAAATAGAATTTTTTTCATGTTCCGTCTGTTTTTCTGCATCCCGGCTAGGATGTAAATACAGATTTACTAAATCAAATTGTGAGGCGAATTTAAAATTTTCTTCCACCATTGCTCGCGAGCTCGGATTTACTGAATTTAATAAATCCTATTTAACGTAAATTCAGGTTGCAGCCAAACACAACAACCTTAATGTTAGAACTTGTGACCCAAATTCTGTTGGGCTTGCATAAAAAGAATTTAGGCAAGGAAAATAAAATAAAAATAAAAGAATACCTGAGCTCCTGGAAGCTTGTTATCCCAGCTAAGAACTCCATAATCAGGTCCACCCCAGAATGCTCCGGCGTGCTTCGCCATTTTTGGATGGGTTGCCAGCTGAAGATAGGAAGAGTTACCCGTCGCCAAATACATCCATGAGCCACCCCACACAAATTCATCCCAATAGCTCGTCGAATTGTAGAATTTCGCCGGATCTGAACCTCCCGCGCTGTATCTCGCTCTCTGCAACCTTGCAAACTTCCACAGCGTCGCCGCCCCGTGCACGAGCTTCTGCGAATAGATCTTGTTGTCCTTAAACACTATGGATGCCGACGCAAGTGCAGCTGACATCTCTGCAGCGAGATCCGAGCAGCCATGGCACTCAAATACAGGACGAGGGTAGTCCATATCCTCCGGTCGCATCCAGCAATAGTGATCGTTTGGCATCGGACCGCCGGATGTATCACCGACTCCAACCTGAACCAGATCTCGTCAGGAAAAAAGATGGATTTCTCTGATTCAAGGAAATGGGCTGCAAGATCTAATCTTTTTTGGGTATTACCTGAGCGGCAATGCGATCGATGTTGTCGGAAGAGGAATTGAAGGTCCTGAGAAGGTAATCGGCGCCCCATTTGATGATCTCGCGGATATGAGCAAGCTCGCCGATGGCCTCGTACTTGGCACTGTACTCGATGACGCTCCAGCTGAGCATGGTCATCGCGAAGGATGCCGGGAAGTTGAACTTTATGGCATCACCGGCGTCGTAATACCCACCGACAAGACTCCGCCTGACAGCCAAATCGGATAATCCGTCCTTCATCCCGGAGTTTCCCCTCCACGATACATTGTTGTGCTTGGGAAGCGGCCCGGCTGCATCAAAACTGTGATTTTGAGAAACTAATGTCGACAAGATCAAAACTTTGACAAAAAGAAAACGAAACCCACATCGTTGGGCGTTAAAGAACATTAGGGCTTTGTGGAGGGCGATAGTATAGTTGTCCGGAGGAGGGCGAGGGTGATGATGGCGAGGAACGGTCTTGACGATGAGAGTAATGAGGCCGGCGAGAGCGCCGATGCCGAAGACGATGCCGAGAGTCCAAATGAAGATCTTGCGGCTGACGATGAGGCAGCCGAGGTCGATGTACTTCTTCTTCTTCGACCCCTGGTCGCCAGGTCCGGCGAGGAGCCAGCTCTGCTGAGTCTCATCGAGCGGCCGCGAGGAAGTCGAGAGGGCAGCGCGGTCGAGGTCGAGATTCCGGCTCCGATCATCGTCGGTCGCGGAGTCGGCGTGCGAGATCTCGAGGGGACCTCCCCATGGGTCTCTCCCGAACATCCTGGATCTTGATCCTGAAATGCTTCTTCTCCCCGCTGCTCACTCTTTCTTAGATGGGAAAGCAGAGATCTTGAGATAATGAGCGAGAAGAAGGGTGAAAACTAAGCATCTGGGTTAATAAAAAAGATGGCTTTTTGATGCTTAGTGAGGCAAGTGAGGGGCTGCTTTTTCTTTTTTCTTTTTTTAGTTTTCTTTTTAATTTTATTCGAACTTGATGGCGATGGACTGACAGAAGTGAGCCGAGCCAACGGCTGTTATACTCTGCCGACCAAATTGTAAGGTCTGGCTCAGTGAGTTTTTTTGTATTGTGACGCGTTGTATTAGAGACGAAAATCCAGGCTGGAAATCCGTGATAAATTGTCAAAAAGGACCCCCCTGAATAAAAAAAATACAAAAAAAAAAAAGTTTAAATCATAACTTATAATTTAGTTATTAAGCAATTAGAAAAAAAAACTAAGACATTATTTGGCTGAAATTTAGATTTATGCTAAATAAAATTTACTAAATTCACATTGAGATACAAGAGTTTGTGAACCAAATTAAGGGCTTGTTTGGGGCAGTTTATTGTAGTGCGGTGACAGTATGAAAACGTCGTATATGTGTTTGAAAAATATGTTCGGCGCAGATTATTCATGCCGCTCATACGCACTTACAAAATTTCGTTAATAGAAGACGAAGCGGGGATGAGCCGCGTGCTGCGTCAGCTTCCCGCGTTAGCGTGAAAAATTCCTTCGTTGCCCCTCGCTCTCACTGATTTGATTCCTTCATATCTTGGGCACGGGTGGCCCTCTCACCAAGCAAAGAGGAATAATGGCGCAAACAGGCTTACCTTTCTCGTTGGTTTCTGGTTTATTATATGTGTGGATCGGAAGAATAGCAATTATAGTTTAGGTAGTCACTATAAACCGCGATCCCGTCGTTGCCTTGCCAGCTAGCTTTAATGGTGACTCAATCGCAAAGGTTCGTTCACGAAGGCGATGGTTTTGGGCGAAACCGAGAGGGGTAGCGACATAAGCGAGGGTTTGGGGGCAAAGATGAGAAGTTTTGGCGAAATCGGAGAAGGGTGGGAATAGGTTTGCTGAGGGTTTGGGGCAGAGATGGGATTTTATTAAATATTTCGTTAACTTATAATTAATTTGTATATCATCAATTTATTAATTATAATAGATAAATTTGTACGTAATTACTTAATATTTGATTAATGACAAAATTTTAAGTTATTTAATTAAATTTTAAGAAATTCTTCATTTATATAATTAATAATTAATTAATTAAAATTTATTAGCTAATAAGTTAATAGTTTATAAAAAAAAATTAAATGATTACATACAGTTCTGTTACAAACAGTTTAACCAAACAGGAGCAGAATGATCATTTATCCAGCAACAACTATCCATAAGTTATTCTAAATTAGCTCCCTCAAACAGCAAGTCAGCTTATTCTGATAATCTACAGATTATCAGAATAATCTGATTATCAAAAGATTATAAATAATCAACAGCTGCGTCAAACAGACCTTAAATTTATCTTAAGTCAAATTTATTAAATCCAAATATTTATGGTAAATGTGACAAAATCAGAGAAGAAAATATGAAAATGCAAGCAAATTCGAATTAACAGACGATTAGATTTAATTTATATTTATTTATAATTAAATTCTATTAATATCGTGCGACTAAACAATGTTTAAGAGAGATAGTTTAATACCATATATAATTATTATTACTTTTTTTCCAATTCCTTAAGAATTTCTTAGGAAATTTAAATGTAAATACGCATAATATATTTATAAAATTTGAAATGAAAGTTTAAGGAATCCATAAAACATTTAGATGATTATTTTCTTTATCAATTAGGTGTCTAACAACATCTGAAAAAATATATATTTTTTTTGATTTGGACACTATAGCTTAATTATTTAGTAATGTTGGGTTTAGTGAAGGAGGAATTATTGCGTGCGGACATCGCATGCATCACTGCATGCGGTGTCCGATCCTGACCGTAGATCACGGTGATCTACGGTCAGGATTATTTCCGCGTTTTAAAAAAAAAAAAATTAGATGAGGCTCACTAAAATACATCAGGATCGTAAATCAGGTGATTTAAGATCCGAGTCGGCCGTATGCAATAATTTTTCTTAGTGAAGTGGAGGAAAAGATGACTGTGTTGATAAGTGACAAGTGGGCTAACTGGCAGATGATCAGTCCTTCAATTACTGACAGCTATTGGTGCGGTGGGAGAAGCTGTTTTTGTTTTATTTGATTTGTTTAACATTTCTTATTTACTCCACTGTGGAACATGAGTTCCTACCAAACTTTTAGCAGAATTATGTTCTCATTAATCGGTTCGGCAATAGCACACAAACAATGAGTCCAAAAAAATGGTAATAAGAAATAAATGAAATTTTCCATGTAACAACTAGTTTAATTTTAAATTCATCTTTTATTGATTATTTTCCATTAACGCGTAATTAAGAAAACCTCAAGGGCGTAATAATCCTCTATATTAATCAATATTACAATTATTCATTCTTCTCTTTAGTTGAAAAAATGGGATTTATAAAATAATGTAATATACGTTAACTTAATCATTTATGTCTATATTAGAAGTGACACCCAAATAATTATAATTTGAGAGTAATAGTCAAATGGTTGTTCAGCAAATGGACAAAAGATGGTTGTCAATTGATGATAATATCACAATGACAATCATGCAATAATGATCAAATGATGATGATTGAATGACAATAGTAAGAAGGCAGGAACCGTGCAACAAATTGAGGGATAGTAGTAATCATTAGTGATTGTAAGCATTAGATTTCAAGATAATCTTTAGGGTGCTGCAAGTCTTCAATAACATTTATTGATTTAAATTGTAGGATGCCTTCATAGGAAGAATTTAGTATATTTTTAATATTTTTGAGTGTCGTGCAAATTCTTAAATCTTGATAGCTAAAATCCTCAAACATTTCGTAGGAAAGCTCAGATTTATTTCATTGTTCAAAGGTTAACCACTAAATAATATAGTTTATTAACAACCTAAGAACTAATAGATATAGGGCTCATTCAGACAACCAACTTGATTATGTTAGGTATGGCTCATATACCAGGAATTTGGAGTTTCTTGGTTTTGGAGAGGTGTGTCTCTTGGAATGAAGAGACATGTCTCTTGGTGTGAAGATGTGTCTCTTGGATTAGTGGGTTGGGGGGAGCAAGAGTGTGTTTGTAATTATCTGTGGGATTTATCTATAAATAGATGTATAGCACTATGGGTATGAAACCCTCCTCTGAAATAGTGAAATTCGCCGCTCTGCTCCCGAGTACTTAGACTCATTGTCAAACCTCGTTAAATCTCTGCGTTCTTCTGATTTTGTGTCGATTATGTGTTTTTCTTCGCCCTAAATTTCACAACAGATTAAATTTATAAGGTTTGGGTAGTTTGCTTTTCAAGTAAAAATCCCAAAAAAATTATTTAAATTTTGGATGTTAGATTTAGAATCACTTAGATTTTTAATAAATAATTTTTGATGTCATTAAATTTCTCTTGTCAAGAATTTCAAGTTAATAAAAAAATTATTAAATAAAAACGGAAATGTTTTCCAAATCAACTCTAAAAAATAACTTGTTATAATAACTTAGATATTTCGGACGGTCTTCAGTTTCTCCATTAATTTTTGTATTCTCTTTTGAATTTAAGTAGCTGCTTATCCTCATCATTTGATTTTTCTTAGAAAGCTTCATATTTTTCTTCCAGCTAAACTATTTATCGAATTCTCATTTATGAAATGGAATAAATTTTATTTATTTATATTATTTTAGCTATTATTTATATACATTATTTTCTTTCAAGAATATTGTGCTGTCAAGATTCATCAATTTTCAAACCCAAGGTGTGACAGACAAAGTGACCGGATATTAAGGGTTTGGTTGGGATAGCTGCAGCTTATTGAATAATCTGCTAATAAGCTTATTAAAAACAATCTACTGATAAGTTGTGCAGTGGCTATTACAAATTTTTATTTTTTTTGGAAAAATCAGACTGCAGTTAGAAAGCTGTCACCACACCTAGACAGGTGCGGTGAAAAAACACCGTTTTCAGTTTTTTGAAAACGCATGAACCATCAAAACGCAGTTTACCCAAACAGGTCTAATGTTTTTTTCAAAACGCACCGCACCAAATAAGTTGCCCCAAACGAGCCATAAGTTAATTGTTTTCGTGCATGCATGTTTTGCATGTACATAAATATTAATACATGAATGCACCCGAGTTCAACACATGAGTATGCTTAAACCTTCCCAGTATTTTAGGAGATGAGAAGTTGAATAGGCACACCATTTGTGTTAATTCATCACGTGAAATAAACTCAATAACATGGCTGCAAAATTATGCAAATATGAGAGTTTTTCAGCTAAATTTGATAATAGTAATAACAATATTAAACAAGATTTACATACAAACCCCTCTATTCCTATTTATGCATCTAATATCTATACTTCAACTTTTACATATATGTGATCTTACTAATGCATGGGAAATGTGTATTTTATTTTATTTTATTTTAAGGTTATATGATAAACTTGGGTGATATAAATGTGAAAAGTAAAATTTAGATATGAGATATGTAATTACACAGGAATTGTGTAGTTTTTTTGTAAATGTTTTGTAAATGCTATAATAATAATAATAATAATAATAATAAATATAATTTAAGGTGGTTGGGTGTGAGTTGTGAGCCCACTTGCGTGGAAAGCGACGGAACGCCAATAGTTCACAGATAATAATTAATGATTGGCTGCGTCGGTGGGTGACTGCTCACTGTCACATGGTTGGTCTCAAATCACTCTCCCGACACATAAGTCTGTATGGGCTCGGGCCCAGTAGTTCTTTTGTTTAAACTTGTTGGGCCGATGTCTGAAGGAGTCCATTTACTAGAATTACCAAATTCTCAGGGCAGGGAACATAATTGGATCAGCATATTTCACAACATTTTTGCGTAGAGTTGCAGGTGTTAACCTCATAGTTAGAATTGAGAAGCAAAATTTTCAAATAGTTATGATGAACATCAAACAAACTACAAGTGAGATTTTGTGGCCTCTTTGGGGCAGCTTATAAGTGCGGCGGTGTTTTTGAAAACACCACATAACCGCTTAGTTTG